AAAGAAGTGGCAGGCCAATTCGTTTATTTTAGCATAGAAAATCATAATAACTAGAGGAAATTATTTAAAAACAGAATCAATAGAAAATGCATGTGAAGGTGTGGTTGTATACTGGTATTCCACGAATGGCTCTGTTTCACAACTGTACGAGTTACCAACAGTCGTGTAGAAAAGAGTGAAGGAGCAAATCGTAGCCATAACCCCAAAGAGAGAAAGTGCGAGGAGAGACTTACCATCGGCTACAGTCGGCGACAGCTGGGCGATCTCCTCAGGGCTCATGCTGGCACACTTCTCTTGGAACAATTCCAGCTGCTCCAATAGAGTCGCAAAACTGGGTCTGTTGTCTGCGTTGAAACTCCAGCACTGGCGCATGAGAGAGTACCTGCAGATACAAACAACAGTAACAGAATCCAGCTTTTGAATGCTTAAAATGTGGAACTTTTCTCTGCCAGAATTGGTCTCATTGGCCACAGCAGAAGCTGCAAGTCATCTTGACTTTTAATTCTGCAGTTTCGTTTGAGAAATATTCTCGGCTGAAGATGCAATTGGTCATAGTCAGAACACAGGCAAAACAGAAACAGAATAGTAGAACTGATAATGCAAAGTGAATAGAGGTTCAGACAATCTAACAAACAATGTTCCAGTCAATATCGAAGACTATGCTACGGACTTCGATGAGCAGGAAACACATTACAAGTAAGGTTAAAGTCTACTTGAGCCCTCTATTCTGAACTTACTTGACCTTCTACTTCCAGTGTCTCCACTTCTAGTGGGAGCACACGAGAGACGCCGCGATGTCAAGCAGGAAAGACGCTTTTAGTTTAGTTCAAGAATGGTCGGTTCAAATAGACTTTTGCCAAAGGCAGAGTACACATACTATAAGTAGTTTCAGAAACACGGAACAGCACTCTGATTGTTTCAATAGATTTAACAAATTCATTATAGTAGAATCTTACAGTATGCCCCTATATGATCGCTTCAGAGCAGGAAAACCTATATCAAGTCCATATCCGATTGAAAAGTCCAGGAACGTCCGGTCAAGAATTCCAGTATGAGTTATCGGCACAGCAGTCCCAATTATATTGAAAATCATTTTAGTGAAACATGAAAGAGGGGGTGCATAACTCACATTTCATCAGCACATTTCTCCGGCCTTTCCAGCTTCCCCCCGTCTCGTACAAAGTGCAGGACATCAATGTTGGTGCGGGCTGGATAGGGCTGCTGGCCCAGGGTGATCACTTCCCACATGAGCACACCGAACGCCCTGGATGGAGGGAGGAGGAGGAGGAGAAGGCACATGGTGAATCGACTAAACTTGTCCAAACAACTCTACATTGATGATATAATGTCTTAGCTTTTTGTTCTTCTCTCTCTCTCTCCCCCTCTCTCTCTCTCTCTCTCTCTCTCTCATTCTCTCTCTCATTCTCTTCTACCTCATCTCTTTCTCTCTTTTTCTTCTCTCTCTCTCTCTCTCTCTCTCTCTCTCTCTCTCTCTCTCTTCCCCTATTTCTCTCTCTGGCTCCACACATACATACACACACACACACACACGTACACACACAAGCACACAAATATTATACACATACGCGCACACACACAAATGCATACACACACATACCAGATATCAGACTGGGTAGTAAAGAAGCCATCCACCAAAGACTCCGGTGACATCCAGCGCACGGGCAGAAGTCCTTCCCCTTCCTTACGATAATAGTCGTGTTTGTAAATGTCCCGGGCCAGACCGAAGTCTCCGATCTTCACTGTCATGTCTGCCGGAGACTTGGTGGAGACCAAACAGTTTCTGGCCGCGAGATCTCTGAAAAAAAAAGAGAAACACAGAATCGAACGGGTGAGAGTGGTGTGATGTGGTGGTTGAAAGTTTGACTTGGAAATAGCTGTTAAGGCGTAGAATATCTCTCTCTCCCTCTCCCCCTCGCGATCTCTCTCTCTCTCTCTCCATCTCTCTCCATCTCTCTCTCCATCTCTCTTTCTCTCTCTCTCTGTCTCTCTATCTTTCTCTCTATCTTTCTCTCTCTCTGTTTCTTCGTCTCTCTGTCTCTGTCTCTCTCTCCCCCCTCTCTCTCTCCCCTCTCTATCTCTCTCTCCATCTCTCTCTTTTTGTCTCTCTCTCGCTCTCGCTCTCTCGCTCTCTCTCTCTCTCCATCTCTCTCTCTCTCTCCATCTCTCTCTCTCCATCTCTCTCTGTTTCTCTTTCTCCCACTCTCTGTGTTTCTCTGTCTCTCTCTCTCTGTCTCTGTCTCTGTCTCTCTTTTATTCTCACCTGTGAACAAAGTGCATGTCCTGTAAGTAGCAACAGCCTCTTGCCACATGCACACAGATCTTCACCAGGTCAGGTAGCAACAACCTCGCAGGAGTTGTCTGAAATAGAGGAAGTCAGTATGGCATGGTATGGCATGGTATGGCATGGCATGGTATGGCACGGCATTTCATGGTATACCGAACACACGCACACATCATGCACCCCTGTATGAGTTGAAGTCGTTATAATTTGTTGATGTTACTATAATACCAGTGATTTCCGCTGTTATTTTATTTTAATGTTTGTTTTTGTGTTGTGGTAGTTTTACAACCAGCCCCCACAGTGACGACAGCATGTTGTCAGGCACCAGCGAGGACCTTACAATCAACTGCAATGGACATAACTGGTTGCAAAACAACAGAACTCACTTACCACCCACATTCACCTGAAATAATCTCTCTCGCTCCCATGCACCCACCCCTCTCTCTCTCTTTTTCTCTCTCTCTCTTTCTCTCTCTCCCCC